GCCTGGCTGGACCAGCAGCGAGGGTGAGCGCACGCGTGCGGAGCAGGCCCCGCCCCCTCCGGGCCCCGCCCCCTCCGGGCCCCGCCCCTTCGCCAGGGCCACAATCCTTGGTCACGGCTTCGCTGGAACAAGCCCTCCCCCACGCCAGGGCCACGCGTTTTGGAAGAGAAAATGTGCTGATCCAAATAGTAATCGATGTTTGCCGAAACTTAGATATGGCAGTAAAATACCCAAAAAACAAATAAATAAAAATACCCCTCCCCCGTAGTCCCACCTCCCTGAGATAATCTGCACATATTTTCCGGTATATTTAGCCAGTTGCTTTTGAAAAAGGTAAACACTTGGCTATGGAAACATTGGAAACGAGCGGCACGTACTGTTTTGCAACTTGAGTTTTCATTTCAAATGTCAGGAAAGCCTTTCTGCCTCACCACATAACCTTTATTACACACGGGGTGCCCAGCATATTGGGACTTTAGCCTGTTCCCGATTGCGGGTCTTTAGGGTATTTCTAACTTTTTGTCACTGTTAATGAACATCAGAAAGATACTTTCCTTAAGGCAAATTCTTAGAAGTAGAATCGCCTTGTCTGTAGACTGCATTTGGAAGCCTCTTGATGCTGCCAAATTAGCCTCCAGAAAGCTTATTCCAGTTCAAATCCTTTCCAGTAGTGTGTGGGCGTGCCAGGCTGTCGGTGTTGTGTTCCATGATGGGGTGGGGGCACACATGTGGGTGATCACCCTGCTTCCCTCTCCAGAGGACTTGGTCCTGGGTCGGGCCTGGGCCAGGTCTCCATGGTGGGAGGGTACTGCTATCTGCCAACCTCTGTCTCTTAGACTCAAAGTGGTCCCGAGGGGTGGGAAGAGTGACATCCTGGGCTGGGGCTCCTGGGCCACCCCAGGACTCCAGAGCCTGTCCACACATGATCACTTCCTCCCTCGTGGGAGTGCATCCCAGGCTGACGTGGTTGACTGGGGCTGGCTGGGTGCCTGTGACTTTTTGTACCACTTGCATGGACCCTCGAGATTGGCAGTGATCTTGCCACTTCCCCCCAGGTGTCTGGGGAGCAAGGGGGACAAAGCCACGCTGGCCACCCTGGTGAAGAAGCAGCAGCAAGCACTCAGCATGTTTGAGAAGGAGCAGGTGAGGGCCAGCATGGACCTGGGTGAGTGGGGGTGGGTGGTCCTGCTGTCCAGGTACCTGGACATTTACCAACATCACAGTTAGAGAATTCCTGAGCCCACTGGGCTCGGTGGCTTATGCCTGTAATCCTAGCACTTTGGGAAGCCAAGGTGGAAGGATTGCTTGAATCCAGAAGTTTGAGACCAACCTGGGCAGCATAGCAAGACCTGGTTATAAAAAAAAAATTAGCCAGGTGTGGTGGTATGTGCCTGTAATTCCAGCTATTCAGGAGGCTGAGGCAGAAAGATCACCTGAGCCCAGGAGGTCGAGCCTGGGTGACAGAGTGAAACCCTGATTCAAAACAAAGAGAGAGAGAGAGAATTCCTAGGCCTTCCAGGGCCACATGGGACTCTGCAGTGCACAGGGAGGGGACGTCATGGCCAGAGTGAAGTGTGATCCTGTGGTCCTGTGGTCCTGGCTCCAGACCACGTTCTGCCTCTTGTTATACGTGGCCTCGGACAGGTGGGGCAAGGAGCTCTGCCTCTCCGAGCCTCAGTTTCCTCACCGAACGGGGGACGAACAACAGTGTCTATAACAAAGATTTTGGGAGGTTTAGTGCAGTCGGCATTTGCCCAGGGTGGACATGTGCCCATGCACAACCTCAGAGGACTTTGCTTTCTGCTCTGAGCCCCGTTTCCTCATCTGTATAAAGGGGAGATTCCTGATGTGCACATACACGGGGCTTGAAGGGTTAAGCAGGATAATCTCTGGCTGTGCCTGGCAGAGGGGTCTCCATCAGCTACTGCTGCTGACTTTATGCTGGTGTCCATGTTGTCACCGGAGCCAGAGGAAGCAGACTCCCTGGGTGCACATGAGACCAAGGGGCAGCTGCCTGAGTGGGCTGTGCAGGCCTCAGAGAGGGCGGGTCGGGGGCAGAGCCTGGGATCAGGATGAGGACCATCCCCTCACTCTGTCCCTTGGGGTCCCTGGCTCCCCACAGGTCAGGGCTGCTATGCTGAGCACCCTCACTTTGGTCTCCACATGCTGTGGGACAGGGGCTGGTGTTAACACTCTTGGATGAGATAAAGAGATGGAGACTCTGGGGTGGGGGACTTATCTTGCTTGGGGACCCTCAGATGGGAAGTGGGGGCAGTGAAGGACCTTGAGCTGACCGGAAGACCCGGGCTCTCACCCCTGCGCTAGATGCCCTGTATGCATGTGGTGTTGGGGTGGTGGCATGGGGCCCTCTAGGTTGGGGGCAACAGGCCACAGATCCAAGGGCTCGCTCAGATGTGGAGGGACAGAAAGCACAAGTGACACTACAGGAGACATTCTGACTGCACAAGGGCTTAGAAGGGGTCCACTTGTCACATGACATGGAGGGAGGCTGGCAGAGCAGACCCTGCCAGGGGAACTTGGGCTGGAGGGCCTGGGCATGGCCAGTGGCAGAACACCTGCCCACAGCGGGCCAAGTATGAATGACAGAGATACTGTGGTAGAGGCTGGAGTCTGACCACCAGGGCCCGGAAGAGACACCCGGCTCTGAGGACTTTTAGTTCCTCATGTGATCCATGAAGTCTCCCACCTGGCAGGGTGGGTGGACAAAGACCTGAGCAAGTGCTCCATGCGTGGTGGAGTCGTCCAGGGGTGTGTCTGCCAGGGATAAAGCAGGGAATAGAGAGAACAGTCGAGGACAGCTTCATAAAAGAAGGAGGTGGGGCAGTGCCCAGAACCTGGAGACACAGAGGGCGGAGGCACAGCCACTCCATGCCAGCCACACTCAGAGTACCTGGGGAGTAAGGCTACCAGCCTCCCTCCTGCCTCCTGCTGTCTCCTTGGCTAAACCTGGGGGAAGTCAGCTAAACCTGGGCCCAGGAGGAGGATGGGCAAGGGGCACATGGAGGGAAAGGGAAGCCCCAGCACAGTGCAGGAGCCAGGTTATCACCCTAGATGCCCCTTCCTATCCATGAGCCTTTTCTCTTTCGTGCATGAGCTTGTCCAAGGTGGGGGTTTCACTGACGCTTCTTCTCTCTGGCTGGTTTAGAGGGAGATTCAGCATCTGCAGAACTTGCACCTGTTCATGCACCGAGACAGGAAACTGCTCCTGCAGCAGCAGAAGGACGTCCTCTTAGCACAGAATTCCGAGGCCCACCTGCAAGAGCTGCCGCAGGTAGGCGAGCTCCCCTGGGCAGGGGCTCAGTGCAAAGCCTGGGAAATGCTCACACCCTGGCTGCTTCATGTGAATGCGCAAGTCCTTTGCAAAAAATGCTTGTGGCCCTGGATAGAAAGGGGCACCCTGCAGGGGCAGACGGAGGGCAGGAGGGGCCACCTGCTGGGGGTGGATAGGGTGGCTGTGGCCTGGTCTTGGGGTGGAGCCAGACTTCAGGTAGTTGTAGAAGGTGCTCCAGGCTGAGGGAATTGAAGGAGGGCCCCCAGCCCAGGTGGGGAGCCCAGGGGGAGGAGGAGAGGGTAAGGTCACAGCTGGAGGCGAAGCTGGGGCTTTACTGGGGTTGAGGAGAGAGCTGTGGAGGTGGACAGGGGTGAGGAATCTCCATGGGACCAAGGTAGGAAGGCCTGGGGTTCCTTGGGGCAGCCAGCTCTGGGGGACCCCTAGCATCAAGAGTGTCCTTGGTGCTTGCCCTCTCCATGGTGGATGGTAAGAAGTCTGTGTGGACTGTCCCAGGCTCACCCGAGCACCTCCTCTGTGAGTGGGGGGGAGGGGGGCTCACCTTGAGGGTGGGAACCAAGACTGAGCAAGCTCAGCTCTCTGAAGCACCACCCTCCACCACCGATTCCAGAGCTTACCGCAGGGGGCTCTGGCTGGCCTTGGGCAAAGTCTCCCCACTCTGAGGCTCCTGTCTGCACCTGTCAGCGGAGGTGCAGGGCCCCTGCCAGAACAGAACACTCCGTTTTAGCCTACCTCTCCCTGGTGAGAGCATGGAGGCCAGGTGCTATGGGCTGCCCCATCACGGCCACTGCCGCAGGAAGCCCCCTGCCTACTTTTCCATAGAGGAGATAGGCCAGGGTGGCCACACAAGCCCACCTTGTGCTGTTTCTCGTAGAATTCCAGCCATGAAGTTAAGGCTGCCTGGGAGGGAGGCTCTGAGACAAACCAGCAGCCGGAGGGGCTAGCACGGGGCTCCTTGTGTCCCCTGACACTACTCAGACCCAGCAGCCCCACCAGCCCTACCAGTCTTTGGCCCCAGAGAAGTCCTTCGAGCTCAAAAGTCACACAGTGAGTTGGGCACAGGGTGGTGGGCTCTGGCCCTGGTGCTGACCAGCAAGGATGAGGGGGGACATTGAGGGCATGGAGGGTAGCCTACTGGCACAGTGGGATGTGGGCAGAGTCCAGAGCTGCTCTGCCCCTTGGGAGGACTTGAGCAGCTGCTGGCATGTTCTCATCTTCAGTTGGCTGGAGTGTGGCCTCGGGCAGGGCTTTCGTCCTCGGAGCCTGTTTCCTCACCTGTTAGTTGTGGGCAAGGTGCCCACCCTCCCATGGCTGACCTGCTAGTTGGGAACAATGTGCCCACCCTCCTAGGGCTGCAGGGCATGGTGGGACAGAGTGGTGGACAGGTCTGTCTTGGGGTCCGTGGGTAGCTCCCAGGTCTGGCATGGGGGCTGTTCTGACTGCTGGTGGTGGCTTGGCCTCCTCTGAGACCTGGCCACATGGTCATCAGCCTTGGTTTTTGGCAAAAGGGCCTCATTAGTGGGCCCCTGTCCAGGATGAGTTATGGCATGGGGAGGGGTTGATGACCAGTGCCATCTGACCACGAGCATGGCTTTGGGAACAGTGTCTGCTCTTCCCATCAAGGGATTCCTGGCTTTCTGATGCTGGAACGGCTCTTTCCTTGCTGAAATTGGCCCTTGAGAGCTGAGGAGGCCATCTCTGCTCAGAGCCTCAACCATGGGGCCAGCAGCCTACCAGACTCTAACTGAAGACCCCCAGAAGCAGGAACCTGGGGGGCAGTGCATTTGCAGGAGGGACAGCCATCACAGGATCATCTTCCCATCCTGGGGAGAGTCCAGTAGCTCTTTTCCAGTGGGATGGGACCCCCTGCAGTAAGGGAAGGCCTCCCCTACTCAGCCTTCTGGCTTTCTCCTGGAGCAGTTTCCAGATAAATCCATCATGGACAGATCTGTCATCCATGCTGCCACTGACTGCCAGGACACTTCCAGGCTGATGGTCACCTCTTGTTATCTGAGAGTTTGCTTATAGGGCTAGAGGTAGGTGGGGGTTGGTGCCCAGGGGATTGACAGAGGCACTGAGGATTGGCCCGTCCTCCTGGGGACACTCGTGCTATGCTGTCATGCCGGCAGTGCAATGTCCCTGTTCACAAGTTAGAAACTAGAGAGGTCCAGGCACAGTAGCTCATGCCTGTAATCCTAGCACTTTGGGAGGCTGAGGCGGGAGGATCACTTGAGGCCAGTAGCTTCAGATCAACCTGGGCAACACGATGAGTCTTTGTTGCCACACAAAGTCATAAAATTAGCCGGACATGGCGATGCATGCTTTCTATAGTCCCAGCTACTCAGGAGGCTGAGGCAGGAGGATCATCTGAGCCCAGGAGGCCAAGGCTGCAGTGAGCCACGATCATGCTGCTGCACTCTAGCCTAGATGACAGAATAAGATCCCGACTCGAAAGGAAGGAAGGAAGGAAGGAAGGAAAGAAAGAAAGAAAGAAGGAAGGAAAAAACTAGAGAGAAGCAAGGTGTGTTTGAAGAAGAGCTTCAGGCCGGGCTCGGTGGCTCAGCCTTTAATCCCAGCACTTTGGGAGGCCGAGATGAGTGGATTGCCTGAGCCCATGGGTTCAAGACCAGCCCGGGCAACTTGGTGAGACCTCCTTTCTACAATAAATAAAAAAAATTAGCCGGGCATGGTAGTGTGAGCCTGTAGTTCCAGCTACGTGGAAGGCTGAGGTGGAAGAATTGCTAGAGCCCAGCAGGTCAACGCTGGGGTGGCTGTGAGCATGCCACTGCACTCCAGCCTGGGCAACAGAGTGAGACTCCAACTCAAAAAAAAAAAGAACTTCAACTCTGCTGTCACCCACCCCTGGAGAAAGCAGCCTTTACTATTTTGCTGGAGGTCAGGCCATAAGAGCAGTGGGCAGACTTCGTACCTTCATTTGCCCCAGAGAAGCTCAGCCAAGTTCTGAGGGTGTTGGGGTGGGGGTGCCTTGGGGAACTTGTGTCTGTAGCTCCCAGTGGAGCAAGGGACAGCAGGACAAAGCAGACAGAGGCCCTGGGCATCCTGGCCTGGGATCCCATGTGCCAGGGAGGATTTGTGGGGAAGGGAAGTTCAGTCCTTTGAAAGGTCATAAGCAGGGTCTCTGTTCCTGTGTTATTCAGCCCAGTTCTGGGACAGCTCAGAGTCCCCTTGCTCTGCATAGAGCCCTGAGGGCACTGTCCTGTGTCCCTTGGGAGCCTGTGTAGGGACACCTAGTGTGGCAGGTGACCTCCAGGTCCTGCCCCAGGAGAAGACCAGCCCCACCTGTCAGTCATTCTCTTCTTTAGGGGTCTCTGGAGACACGGTTTCCAGGCTCTTGGGATCTCTGAACCCAAATCTCCTGCCCACGCCCATGACTGTGTGTGATTCTGGGAGGAAAGTGCTCAGGGTCACTCTTAGATGGAGACAATGAGCTGTGCCCAGCTGTGCCCAGTGCCTGGGAAGAAAGATAAGCAGGCCAAACAGGCGTGTGAGGGCATGGGGAATGTCCTTGGGCAGTTCTGTCCTCAGATGCTGGCCTTAGCCCAGGAGGGTTCAGGAGCCTGATGGCTCCTGAACCTCCGCCTTGATGCTGCAATGTGGGGAGGGTATGGGGAGCAGTTTCTTGCTACCCAGGCAGTATGGCCTGGGAAGGTTAGGACGGGGGTGTTTGCAACCTGGCAGCAGGCCTGGGAATGCCCCATGCCTTCCAGAGCTCCAGGCAGGGCCCCTCATGCACATCCATAGGTGCTGCCCCGGGATGGGTGGTCAGTCTCCATGCAGAAGCTATTGAGGAAGCACCCGTCAGGGAGACAGACAGACATCCCCACCCACCACACCTGCTGCTGTGCCTGGCCCCTTGTCCCCTACAGCAATGGCTGCATTTGTGGGCAACAAGTTCTGCTTGGGAAGCTGCCAGGGGAGGGAAGGCACTGACTACAGCTGTGTAGGAAGATGGTGACTGTGGTGTGAGGCTGTTCCCAGGGACAGGGTGCTTGTGCAGTGTTGCCCAGGTGGCAAGCAGTCAGCTCTCCCCTGCATGGCCTTGTAGGCTTGCCATGGAGCAGCAGAACGAGAAATCCTCCCAGACAACCTTGGATGCAGATGGTCTCCTGCAGCCTCTGAAACCAGCACAGGAAGAGGACACGTCCAGCTACCCCAGTCTTTTGGGGGAAAGCAGCACCCACGTTGGTCAAGGTCACTGGGCAGCAGCAGTGGCCGGCCCAAGGACAGACGGTCAGTCTCTCAGTGGGCTCTGGGAGACTTGGGGCAGCTTCAGGATCGAGGTCAGACACTCCTGAGTTCTGTCCTACTATGCCCATGTGCCGGGGTGCCCCTGGCCTCCCTGTCCCTGTATCCCACCAGAGCTGAATGTGTGGTGGGCTTGCAGGTGGGAGGCAACCCCTGCACACCGTGACCAACATTTCCGAGACACAGAGAGAGAGTGTGCTGGCTGGGAGGCCACCCAGACAGGCTCTCCTGCTCTTGGAGGACTCCTGATGGGGAGAGCTGTCAGAGTCACCCCTAGACCCTCCACCAAGTGCAGGCCTGCCAGGAGCCGCTGGGAAAACTAGGTAGGGCCCACCCTGTCCTCAGCTCAGGAGCCGAGTTTCCCTAGCTTGGGGCCGAGCGGGCCCTCGGACCTCCAGGAAGAATACGTGGTGGGGGAGAGAGCCTGACATGGCCCCCAGGACCGCCCATCTCCTGTGAGGTTAGCTTGTTTGTGCTCTGTCCTGCCAGGAGCAGCCCAGTGTGTGGCAACGCTCCCACCCTACCCCTAACTATCAGCCCCCACCAGCCCTCAACACCCCAGGAGGGCCCTGGCTGTCACCTGGCCTGGTAGTGTGCCCTGTTCTGTCCCCACCTTGTCACTTCCCCTCCGCGGCCTCAGTCTCTGGTCAACGCTGGTGATTCCTGGGACCATGTGTCTTTCAGAAGCTGGAGAACAGCCCTGTGTCTCCCAGCCAGGCCTTCAGCATGTGAGCTCCCTGGACGTTGGACAGCTGCAAGGCCCAGCCTTTCCTGTACGAAAACTCCCCAGAAGCCCCTTCCTCAGTACTGCTTATTTTGGGACACACCCCCCCATTCTGCCAATCTATGACTCCGTCTCTGTTGGGATCCCCAGGCACCAGCATGTCCTTGGATCCTGTGGTGCTGGGTCCTTGTCAGTCTCTGCCCCTGGTGCCTCCTCTGCAGGGCTCTGACACACACAGTGTTCTTCCCCACCCCATGTCACTGATGCAGGTTGAGGAGGTGGAAGGGAGAGTGTCCGCAGCCCAGTGTGGGTCTCGGAATGTGAAGGAGCCACACCCAGGTAAGCCCCCTGAAAACGGCACGGGGCTCTTGGGGGAAGCGTCCCCCAAGCCCAGTGGAACCTGTCCAAAGCTGGAGCCAAGCTGCCAGACCAGGACGGAGAGGCACATGAGGAGACGAGAGGAGGATGGGCTCTGGTGGACCCCCTCCTTGGCCACAGACCCCTTCACAGGCAGAAGACTAGCCGGCTCCATCTCTTATAGGAGCTGAAGTGGTGACTCTTCTGGGAAAATTAAAACTCATGACTCGCTCTGGCTGGTTTTATCACAAGTTTGTTTATCTGGAGCGGATTTTTTTTTTGGAGACAGCGTCTTGCTACATTGCCCAGTCTGGTCTTGAAGTCCTGGGCTCAATCAGTTCTCTCGGCTCAGCCTCCCTAAGTGCTGGGATTACAAGTGTGAGCCACTATGCCCGGCCTGGAGCTGGTTTTCAAGTGGTCGCAAGCCAGCACTGCCAGAGTGGCTTTCTCAGAGTGGGAGGTTTTCGTGTGTGTTGTGTTTCTCTCTTTCTGAGCTGCACACTTGACTCAGGGCCTCGCGGAGAGCTGAGCCCTGATCTGCATCTGGGGGGCAAGGGGGAAACATGCTCACGGAAAGTCCTGGTGGTGTGTCTGGTTGCTGCCAGTTGAACAAACAGCAAGGCTCAGATACCACCTTGGAGACCCCTGTCCAGCCCTGGGTGCAGAATTCAGAAGTCTCCCTCTGCCCATATCCACCCCCAGGAGCAGGAAGGAGACCATTCATACCCAAGAGTCTGCTGACTCAGGGGTCCCTGCAGTTGAGGCCAGAGAGCGAGCCTCAGGGCAAAGCAGTTGAGCTGGGAGGAGGTAGAATTGCTCATGACATGGAGGTTTCCCAGGAGACCTCAGCAGGTGGGGCTACCTGGAGAGGCCAGGTGGCACTGATGGGTACAGAGGAGCCAGCCCACGTTTCTATGACCTTCTTCCTTCTCCTGAGTCAGACCTGGCAGGCTGCCATTCAGGCTCTGTGACTATCACAGACATGTGTTCAGCCTGAAGCCTCCCTTGCTCTGGGGCCCTGTATATCAGCTGGCACTGTTCTGAGGGCCAATCAAGCACCAGCACCCGCCTCATGAGCCCTCGTTGCCTCTCGAGGTGGATTCACTCATTATACCCATTCTGCCCATGAGGAGACGGAAGCCTGGAGAGCTTAAGAGACAAGACCATGATCACAAAGCTCATTAGTGGGCATTCTGGGATTCCCCCTGGGTCTGTCTGACCCCAGTCTGTCTGAAAATGAGACTGCACTTACGGGGGTTCCCTGGGTGATGATGCATTGTGGTCACTGGGGTAGCCCAGGGTCCTTCCCACATGGCATCCATCACCTTGACCTTCACCAAGGGTCATGAACAAGAGGGCAGGTGTTCCTGTTGGCAGAGCTGCCATACAACTGGATTTCAGCCAAGCAGCTCCAGTTTCTTTAGGCTGAATGGTCTTGGGAGGTGCCAGGGCAGAATGGCAACCTAGGAAGATGGTGACTTAACATTAAGGTAAAGGCCCTGGGTACTCCTGAGAGAGGCCCGCTGTGGCTCCCACCCCAACCCGGTGTCTCCACTTTGCTGATCTTCTAGCTGTGCTGTGGGTGATCTTGGTGTGACCTTGATGTGACCTGGCCTTGTCCGAGGCCTGTCCTGCCTGGCCTTCTGCACCACCACCCTGCCTCCCACCAGTGTCCTAGACCGAAGGGGTCCCGAGGGGAAAGAACCAGTTCTGGCAAAGAGTTTTCTGGCCACATGAGGGAATTCTTCCCCAGAGTAGGCAAGAGACCGCTAAATCTCAAATGATTCTTCTTTTTTTTGAGACAGAGTCTCACTCTGTCACCCAGGCTGGAGTGCAGTGGCACGATTCCAGTTCACCACAGTCTTGACCTCCTAGACTCAGGCGATCCTCCCTCCTCAGTCTCCTGAGTAGCTGGGACTATAGGCACATGCCACAACACCCAGCTAATTTTTATGCTTTTCGTAGAGACGAAGTAGTGCTATGTTGCGCAGGCTGGTCTCGAACTCCTGGACTCAAGTTATCCTCCTACCTTGGCCTCCCAAAGTGCTAGGATTACAGATCTGAGCCACTGCACCTGGCCCATTGATGATTTTTCTATAAGTTTTATTCTGGGACTTCATATCACTAACTATCCAGCAAAAGGGTGATTTTAGGAGCAGACTAACAGATATGTCTATGTCCTCATCTGAACTGGATGCTACAAAAAAGTGTTGTGTCCATTTTGAAATTTTTTTTTTGAGTTGGAGTCTCACTCTGTCACCCACACTGGAGTGCAGTGGCACGTTCACGGCCACCACAGCCTTGACCTGCTGGGCTCAGGTGATCTTTCTGCCTCAGTCTTTCAAGTAGCTGTAACTACAGGTGTGTGCCACCACACCTGGCTATTTTTTTGATTTAGTATCGAAATGAGGTCTTTCCAAGTTGCCCAGGTTGGTCTTGAACCCCTGAACTCAGGCAACTCTCCCACCTAGGCCTCCCAAAGTGCTGGGATTACAGGCTTGGGCCGCTGCACCTGGCCCGTTTTAATTTTAAGATTATTTTTCACGTGGCTTTAGAATTCCTGGGAGAGGATCCCTCTGTCCCCACATCTGTGCCCTACAGCACTGATGGTCCCTTTGTCCCACAGGAGAACCTCTGGCTAAACCCAGTTCCTCCACAGCAGAGAAGACCCGGGCTTACACCAACAGCCACAAGCAGAGCTTCTGGGGACACAGCCAGCACTCCCAGGGTAAAGATGGTCCTTGTAGCACCTCGGAAACCACGGTGAGTTGGGGGTGGCCACACTTTCTGTAGGACCAGTTGGGGCCTGGCGTCTCATCCACCTCATGAGGGTGTTATAGAATGGGAGAACTCTGAGGCCTTTCCTGGTAGATTCGTTTGATTCTGAGATTTGCCAATTTTCTGGGCCTCACCCCAAGACTCAGCACCTGGACAGAAAAAAAGACGGTCTTTCTCACGGTGGCAGGGCCATGGCACATTGATGGGTCTTTGGAGCTCACTAAGAGGGGGGTATCTGGGGACTGGGGGTCTCCACGGCCCTCTTAGGGGATGGCTTTTTTGTTTGTTTGTTTTGTAGAGACAAGGTCTCACTATGTTGTCTAGTCTGGTCTTGAACTCCTGGGCTCAAGAGAGCCTCCCACTTCAGCCTCCTGAGAAGCTGGGACTACAGGCACGCACCACCACACCTGGCTAATTTTTTGATGTTTTTGTAGAGACGAGGTCTCACTATGTTACCTAGGCTGGTCTCGAACTCCTGGGCTCAAGCAATCCTCCCTCCTTGGCCTCCCAAAGTTCTGGAATTACAGGCCTGAGCCACCACACCCAGCCAGGAGTGGTCTTTGTTCCTTAACCATGGTCATAGAACACACAGAAGCCCCATTTGTAACTAAGAGGTGTGGACAGACCTGGCAGAGGCCACACCCAACTGTGTCATTTCTCCAACATGTCTCCAGCAGATGGCTGAAGGCAGCATGAGCCAAGAGAGGTTGGAAATGGGGCTGGACCTGGCCAGGAGCCCCATGGAGGAGCCCCAGGAAATAGAGGACCGGCAGTCAGAGGAGCAGAGGTGCGTGACTCGGGCTGTCCAAAGCTGTTGGGACCCCTGGGCAGGGGTGGGCACTGAGACGTGGAGATAGGTTGGGCCAACACTCCCTGTTCTGTCTCTGCCGAGACCCTCCCTCCCTCCTGACACTTCTTGTCCCAGCTGGGGCCCAACCGTGCACCCTCCACTCCCAGGCCTTCCCGAGTCCTTTGGAAACAAGGATAACACCCATGAGTTGGCCCAAGGTCCATCTGTGAGGTCAGCACAAGAGGCTGCCAAGGCTCCCAGCCCTTCCAAACCAAGCCCTCTGGGGGTGGCAGAACCCCGCATTTGATATCTGATGTAGTGGTGACTGAGACCAGATACCCCCAGAGGCAAACTCCCAGAGCCCTGTGCTCTAAGTGTCACCTCAGATGGTGGAAGAGTGAGCCCTGGGTGGAGGCTGGGGAGGACCAGGTTCCCTCTTGGGAGGGTGCTCCAGAATCCTCCATGAATGTACTTACAGCAGAGAGGCCTGTCAGCAGGAGGACTCCAACATCTCCCTGGCCTGGCTGGAAGCTGCCCGGCTGACTGGCCTCCCAGGTGATGCCCCCCACCCCCTCCAATCCCTCCCTGGCCATTGAATCCCCAGTCAAGGGTTATCCAAGACCAGTTGTGACATCAAGGTCAGGCTTTTCCCCACAGCACACAGCCCTGCCCTACCCACTACCTGGGTACCACTTATGGGTGACTCTGCCCGTAAGCCCCTAACACAGGGTCACCAAGTGGGAGGTCAGTGACTGTTGGTCAGTTCTCTGTCTGATTAGTTCTCTGTCATCTCTCTCTCTCTCTTTTTAAAATTTCACTCTGTGACCTGGTCTGGAGTGCAGTGGTACATTCAAGGTCACTGCAGCCTCAACTTGCTAGGCTCAGGTGATCCTTCTGCCTCAGCTTCCCAAGTAGCTGGAACTACAGAAGCGCACAATCATGCCCAGTTAATTTTTTGATTTATTGTAGAGACTAGGTCTCGCCAAGTTGCCCAGGCTGGTCTCGAACCCCTTGGGCTCAGGCAATCCTCTCACCTCGGCCTCCCAGAGTGCTGGGATGACAGGCATGAGCCACCGTGCCTGGCTCTATTCATATCTCAGATGAAAACAAAACAAGGCAAAGTCCTTGAACAGCAGCGCTGTGAGCTGGGCCCCCAGCCTGGGAATCAGATGTCAGCACATGATTCTTTGCCTGGGAGTTAGAGGGGGATGTCATTAACCACTGAGCTGAAATCAAAGGAGCTGGCTGGGTACAGTGGCTCATGCCTGTAATCCCAGCACTTTGGGAAGCCGCAGGGAGAATCACTTGAGGGCAGGAGTTTGAGACCATCTGGAGAACATAGCAAGACCTTGTCACTATTTTAAAAAGTGGGATGGAGGGGTATCAAACACGTTGGCACCATCCACACTTTTTCTGCCTCTATTTGGGGTGTTTCTCTGGTCCTGAACACTGGCTCTGGGACTGTGGGATGTGGGTAGGGTCCAAGGTGCAGAGCGTGACACATGCTGAACATCCCCAAACTCATCATCTCTTGGCAGCCCCTGGGCCCCCTGAGGAGGTGGTACCCTCTGCCCAGTGCCAGAGCAGCCCTCTGCCCCAGCCTCCTCCTTTCATCGACCCAGCCTCTGAGTCTGCTTCCGGGACCTGCTCAAGATCTGCAGAAGCCCCAGCGTCGTCCCATCCCTCCTCAGCTGGCTCTGGGAGTGACCTGTCCTGTCCCTCGCTCCAGGAGTTCCAGAAAGCCACTGCCACACTGGTCCAGCTTTCTGAGAGCTCCATCTCCCTGTCCAGTGCAGAAGACGAAGACATCCTAGACAAAGACCTCCACTGGTCCAGAGAGTTCTCGGCTCAGAACTCCTGGGAGGAACTGGGCCTGCCTCCCCAGGGTGAGCCTCCGCCAGGTGGTATTCCCGGGGGTGGAGGACAGGTGACCCAGCAGGGGCCTGAGAGCAGCAGACCCAGTCCTCTGAGTGTCTCCTCCACGGATGAGGCTATGGCAGGAGATCTGGAGCCAGATCAGAGCCTCCTGTGGGGAGGCCGGCTGTTGCCTCTCCCAGATGCCTCCTCTCCAAGGTCAGGGTCAGAGCTATCAGAGGCCTCCAGCAAAGTTTGGGATGAGGACATCGAGGAGAACCTGCTGGAACCTGGTGGTGGCACTGAATCAGCTTCAGAGAGCTCCTCCCACCCTGAAGACAGGGGGAAGCCCCATGAGGCGCTTCCCTCCCTGGGCCCTGGGGAGGGGCAGGAAGCTTCTGGAACCTGTGAGAGACTGATAGGGGAATCAAGTACAGGAAAAGCCAAACGGACATCCCCTGAGGCATCCTACATGGTGCTCCCATCCCAAGACTCGCCACTGTCCTGTTCTTTGGGGACCTCTGACTTCAAAGCATTGGATTTTGGCAGAGGAGGAGAGACAGGGCCTTTGCGGGCCTGCACTGGCTGCAGGGAGGGGCCCTGGGACACTGGCCTGAGCCTGTCCTCCACAAGGAAACCCCTACAGGCTGTGCCTGGGTCTGAGGTCCTTGTGACCCCGCAGGCTCCTTCTGGGGACCCTGGCAGGCTGGCACCCCCAGCAGCTGAGAGCTGGGCACCAGGACCTGATGCGAAAGGAGGCCCCACTGTCCTGGAGGAAGCTCACTGTCCGCTTGCTGGTGACGACTTGACCGAGATCCTATCTCCCGTGGATGAGGTGCTGTCTTACAGCAGCACTGACTTCCCTTCCCCCATCCTCAGGGAGGCCTGCCTCCCCCCACCATCCCCCACATCCCAAGCAAAGAGAGACATCCAAGACGCCAACCCAAACTCAGAAGACCTCCCTTTTCCACCCCCTCCCGAGGAAGTCATGCTTCCCGGGGGATCCCTGAGCCCCTTCAGGAAAGATGCTACAATCACCACCGAGGACTTGTCCTCCTTGTCTGAGGAGAGTCTGCTGGAGGTCCTGTTCCCGGGACCCCAGGAGTTGGGGTTCTGTCTGGGGGACAGGCTGGATAAATTGAGTTCTGTGGTAGGGAAGGAGGCTGGAGGCAGCCAGTGGGCTAAACCAGTCCTTTTGTGTGAGGGGGCAGACAGTGCCCCCGATGGGCTTCCAAGGCCATTGGTGAAGCCCCCAACTCCATCCAGAGTGACCTGTGTGGCCGAGGAGGGTCTGCCAAGGTTGTTGGTAGCTGGCAATATGGACATGCTATGTGGCATTCCATGGGGAGACCGGGTTCCCCCTTTGAGCACAGCGTCCTGGGCTGAGGGGGCCCTCAAGGAGGCCCTGGGCTATTGGGTTGAGCCCTGGGAAGGGGTGCAGAACTTTGAGAGAGTAGAGTGCCAGGGGCACCTCTTAGTGGACCCAGAAGGGGCCCTGCAGGCCACTTCACCTGCAGCTGGCTCCCTGGGCAGGCAAGCCTGCTTGGCGGAGACCCCCATCAGGGGCCAAGACTCCAAAGAAATGCTGGGTGACAGCAGGAGTGCAGCCACACTCCCATGTCCCCAGTCTGCAGGTCAGGCGGCCCCTTCCCCAGGCCAAGTGCTCTTGGTGGCCCGTGGACAGGCTAGGTCCCTTAGGCGAGCTGAGGAGGATGGGGAAGGAGGCCAGAACCGCTGGGTGGAGGACCCGCCCAGGGCTGAGGGTTCATGGGGCAGAAAGTCACCCCCAGGGACAGACTCAGACCCTCAAGCCCATCCTCCAGGTGTGGAGAGAGACCAGGTGGTGGATTTGGTCTCTATTAAGCTTACCAGGAGGATCCTGCATGACTCCTTAGCTGTTCTGTCAGCGATGGCCCTAAGGGGCAGCCCCTAGGGATGTTTTCTGGAACTACAAAGATACAAATGCTTAGATGTCCTCATAAATGCTGTGTGTATGACAATGCACAGGCAGGCATGACAGCAAGAGCCTTCAGGAGACCTGGACTTTCCCAGGGTGGACTGGTCACCCAGAAGAGCCATCTGCCATGGTTATGACACAGGCCTGGGCTGGACAATGACTCCTTTCCAGCAACTGAATATTGGTTCTGACTGCAATTTTCTGGACAGAGGACCCACCGCTCTCATCAGGTTCTTGAAGGGGCCTGGACCCAAAGTGATGTCAGGACACAGACATAAAATGTCATTTGGGGTGAGGTCCAGAGGTCAGCCAGTCAAGAAAAGGCATGTAGCCAGGCACAGTGGCTCACACCCATAATCCCAGCACTTTGGGAGGCTGAGGCAGAGGGATTGCTTGAGCCTAGGAGTTTGAGACCAGCCTGGGTAACATGGTAAGACCTCGTCTCAAGAAGACCAGGTACAGCTGATTGCTTCTGGGGCTGTGAACTTTTCCTTGTCTCCAGGGAGTTTGTTAGGATCCCTGGGGCACCCCTATTTTCAGGAACAATGACTAGGTCCTGGCATAGGCAGCAAGGCCTAAGCTGCCTCCTTCCAGAACAAATGAGAGCCTGCTTTCTGGGAGGACCATCCAGTATGGAATGACCCATAGGGTTGTTCACAAATGTCAGCAGGTGACTCCTGCAGGGTTGTTGCTTCTGCAGGGAAGCCCAGTGCTCCAAACAGGCCTCCAAGTTCCCTCTTGAGGAGTCTTGCTTTTCTAGAACAATCTTGGAAATTACTGTTGATTCAAGCATAAAGAGAATTTCCCAGGCTGGGTGCCATAGCTCATGCCCGTAATCCCAGCACTTTGGGAGGCCGAGGTGGGAGGATCACTTGAGCCTAGGAGTTTGAGACCAGTCTGGGCAAGAGTGAGACCTTATCTCTACAAAAATTTTTAACAATTAGCCAGGCATGGTGGCATGCACCTGTAGTCCCAGCTACTCAGGAGGCTGAGGGAGGAGGATCGCCTGAGCCTAGGAGGTTGAGGCTGTGGTGAGCTGTGATGGTGACACTGCACTCCAGCCTGGATGACAGAGTGAGACCCCGATTCAGGAGGAGGAGGAGGAGAAGAAGAAGGAGGAAGAGGAGGAGGAGGAGGAGGAGGAGGAGAAGGAGAAGAAGAAGAAGAAGAAGAAGATTGCCTATGGAAAAGAAGTAATGAAAAGACCAATCCGGAAGAAGAAGAAGGAGGAGAAGAAGAAGAAGGAGGAGGAGGAGGAGGAGGAGGAGGAGATTTCCTATGGAAAAGAAGTAAAGAAAAGACCAATCCTGAAAATGAAATAGCCCGGCAGATCCTTGGGCCCTATCTGGCAGGGGGCCTCACAGGGTGGGGGTAGGGGACCTATGAGTTGGCTCGCGAGATCACTTCAGGAGAAGAACTTGAATACTCATCGGGGCCAGGGCAACTGATCTTCATAGACCTGAAGGACAAGCCACTGCAGCATTGACATCTACTAGAAGGAGCCACCTCCACAAGCCACTCACGGGCTCTGGTATAGTCCCAGGGGAGAGGGCAGGCTGGCTGGGATTCCTGCAATTCACCCCTCACCCAGAGCAGCACTTCAGCCACGGCCACTGTCCTAGTCAAAGCCACAGACTGGACAACTTGAAACCTAGCCTTCATCCACCTGTCTCTGGAGACTGTCTCTGGACCACAGTGGGGACCTGAAGTGGATCTTCCTAGTGTCAGAAAGATGGACAGTATGCGTGCTTCATTAGGAAGGATTATTTCCAAACTCCAGTGTAACAGTGTATTTCAGCTTGTGCTCAAAGGGACTTGCTAGAAACCATCTTAATGGACATCTCTCAACATACCTGGGTTTAAGAACAGGAGTGTCCTGATGAGGAGTGTGTTGTTTCTCTAGTTTCAGTATTTTTGTCATATCTTCTGTGCACTTGGGCAAGTGGCTTTCAGATAAGCTCAGCTGAGCCCAGCAAGTAGTTCTTTTATAGAAGAAAGTAGATTTCAGGTCTGTTTTCTAGCTTCCAACATGGTTAGGATTTTCTGAGATGAGGCTCACTTACACTGTGATTGGACCTCTCAGAAGTTACTTTCCACATCCTATAGCAGTGTCTCCCTCCCTCTCTTGCTCTCTATCTTTTTCCTCCTCATCTTCTCCCTCTATCTATTTATCTTTATCTATCTATTGATCAATCAATCATCTACCTATCTCCTTTTTTTTTTTTTTTTTTTTTTTTTTTTTTTGAGTCCGTGTCCAACTCCGTTTCCAGGCTGGACTGCATTGGCACAATCATGACTCACTTCAGCCTTGACCTTCTGGGCTCAGGTGATCCTTCTGCCTCAGCCTCCCAAGTAGCTGGAACTACAGGCATGCACCACCATGCCCAGCTAATTAAAAAAAATGTTGCCCAGGTGAGTCTCAAACTGCTGGGCTTAAGCAATTCTCCCACCTCAGCCTCCCAAAGTGCTGGGATTACAGGCATGAACCACCGTACCCAGCCTTCATAGCTACTATCATCCATCTATCCAACCATCCACCCATCCACTCACCTTTTTCCAATTTACTTCTTTTTTTATCAGATAAACATGAATCTTTATTTAGAGAAAAGCTACTTCTTGAATTAGAAGGTCCCTTCTTGAATGGGAAGTCCAGACTTCATGGGCAGTGTACCGAACCTAGGGACATCTGTGTCATGGTACTGATCCCTTTAGGACTCAGTTTTTTCCCATTCAGGGCCTCTGGCTTCTCAGTGTTAAGAGAGGAACTCATTCCAGACTTGCACACACACAGAGTTCGGGTGGGAGACACTTCCAATGCTGACCTGGCAAAGTCCCAGGTGCCAGGTCACAGGACACATGGAGTCTGCCCGTGTCCTCCACAGGCAGCCTGGGCAATATAGTGAGACCTCGTTTCTACAAAAAATGAAATCTGTGTTCCCTGGAGAGTGTGAAACCATCACCCTTTCATAAAGGGCCCCGGTGGCCTTTGTGTGTATTTTTTTTTTGAGTTGGAGTCTCACTCTGTCGTCCAGGCTGGAGTGCAGTGGCACACTCACGGCCACCGCAGCCTCGATC